GTCCAGATTCTAAACAAAAGACACAAAAAAAGCCAAGAAGAGTTGAGATAGTTCCGCAACGACAGCGCAAAAAAAGTGGGCATGTTTTCGAAACTCGATGTTGTATGTCTTAATAACGTCTGTGTGTGTGTGCATGCGTGAACCTATTTCACCTCTGAGGATCTTTTTTCTTGCTATTGCATTGAGTGATAGCAGCACGAGTCTTTGAATTCCCCCCCCCCCCCCCCCTCTCCTCCGCCCCACCCCGCCTGCCTCTCTTGGCTCCGTTGAAGGCATTTGAGTTCGAGCGGGGAAAAAGAAGGAGGGGCCGGGGGTTGGAGTTGGAAGGGGCAATGGGGGGAAGCGGAGCCTTGCCTGCCTCTGCGCTCCCTCGGAAGCCTTCGTGCATGTATTTGCATAGCCTCGCGCCAGTGCTGCCAAATCTGAGCCTGGCTGGCCTGGCTTAGGCATTCACCCGGACATTCTTTCCAGCAGCTGTCTGTTTGCTAACATTCCTCATTCAAAGCCTTGTTAACTGCCAGACGGGAGGAACACGCGACTCCATGGGAAACCCACATGGCCTCCTTATTGTGGCGGGCCCTGACAGTCTCAGACTAGGAGGTGGCAGACAGGGGAGAGCGAGGGGAGCCGGTTTGTAAATATTAGAAAGCAGTTAGCTGAGGTTAGGTAGGTTACCCGAGGCTTAGAGATGGGGTTTGGGGCAAAGTGGCCAGATTGACAGGGTAGAGCCCAGACAGAGGGGCAGACAGATGGGCAGACAGACACATAGACAAGGCGTTGAGGCAGACAGGGAGGCTGGCACTTTGTGGGACTCTGAATGGGTCTCTCGCTGGCGTGCCCGCCTACTCCTTGCAGGGAGTGCAGAGCTGTGTGACTGAATCCGAGCTCCTTCTCTGCCCTTCTCTACAGAGAGGATATGTGGACATACTGTGAACAGCTACGGAAGGGAATCCAGCACAATGAACGGCGGAGATTTCGGCGCTTCACCCCGGATAGCTGACTGACTGTGGTCCGTGCGCCAGTTGCCTCAAAGTCTCAGTGGGTAAGTCAAAGAGCGTGTGTGGGTGTGGAGGTAAGTGTGTGTGCATGTATGCCTATGTGTGTGTGAATTAGGCACACATGCAGAGGTTTTCTTTTGACAAAAAACGATGAAACACAAAGATGAAAACGAGCGCCACAGCGCGGTTTCATTTGACCCGATCTCCATGTTGGTGTGTTTAAGTCTGGGTGTTGTTTCCTTCAGGGCGACATCCTGAGAGAGTAGGCTTAACTGAATGTAGGCAAACCAGGGGGGAAACGTGGCACGGGCTTTGAATTTCAGACGATATCGAGCTAATCTCTCCTCTGGTGCGTTCCTACCTGCAGTTTTGCACTCCAGGTCGGCCTTTTGTGTGTGTGAAAGAGAGACGGTTTTGGAGGGAGCAGAGAGGGACTAGTGCTGTAATGTTGGGCCGAGGGCCAGACAAGGCCTGCTACACAAGGCCGAGCCCCACCACAACGCTCCCTCTCTCTCTCTCTTTCTCTTGGTATGTATCTGTGTCTCTCTCCCCTTTTCTATCTTGGTCAGCTAATAGAAAACTATTAACTGCAATTCTCATAATGAGTTTTCTCATTAAAACCTCATCTTAGTGAATATGTGCGAGGTTTTTGGTTTGTAATAGAACGTTAAACATTTGAAAATGGGTCATTGCTGACACGTGGCCACGCTTAGCGTTAATATAGCTCGAACAGGCCTTTTAGACATAGCATTTATTATGCTTTAGAACTAATACGGTTTCAATATATGCGTTCATTTTCATTTTTTACATGTTCCTTTACATGCGTAAACAAGAAAAATGCTTCAAGGCATTAAGCTGTAGATATTTCTCTCTTTAGTTAGATTATACGGTTTGAACCGTTTGAAATTCAAAGCAATGTAAATTAACCACACAGTATTTGGATTCTGTATTTAAACTGGAATAAAGCGGCATGCTTTATAAAGAATTTAAAAAGTTATATTGTCATTAACATTAGTATCACACCTGCTTCATCCCCGAGGAAGATTATCAGCTCTAATTTTGGCTGTATAATATCATATTTTCCACATAATTAAAAAACTCAATTCGCCACACCCCCCATGATACCATCTAGTATAGCATCTTTTAATTATCGCCCATGAATCAGTTTTTTTAACCAGCGCTAATTGAAAAATCTTGCCTTTCTTTCCACATTGCCTGTCGATATGGCTTCATGTTGAACACCTCAGCACATCAGAGTCTACCATGACCAATAGGTAGGAGTGGAGGCAGCGTGAGTCATCACAGATAGCTCTAGTCATCCCACCTACGTTCTACGTTACACACTACAGGGCCTGGCGCGAGCTCCGCCATCACTGTCACTCGGCAGGAAACCCTAACTTCGCTTCCCCGCATTAGGTGTGTCCGAACCCCTCTTCTGAGACCCTCAGCCCGGTGATATTACAAGTTCATACGTCAGCATTTGGAGAAGGCACACGTCATTGCTGAACACCAATCGGCTCACAAGGTGCTGCAGTAAAAAACTACCGCAGACTAAAATAAAGAAGTGATTGATTGTTTTTGACTTTTATCTTCTTTTGTATTTCTTTCCTTTTTAGTTGATTCCGTCTAAGAAATAAAAGGTATTTGCGCCGAGTCGTGCTACTCTTCCAGATCAAACAGCCCTAAGGGAAACAGGGAGGAACGCGCTTTAAGTCATAAACCTGTCGATCGTTTGATTAACTTTTGACAAACATCGAAAATGTTTTACAGCGTTATAGTGTCCTCTGCATACTTACAATATCGGATCCGTCTGGTTTATTTATGTCATGAATAACAAAAAAGTCGTACATTCTATTTTCTCATAATATCGGCAGTCTTGGAAAGAATATTTCATCCTTAGAAGACGAGAAAAAAAAAAACCTGGTTCGATCTTGGAATTATACATTTTTTATGCTAAACTGGCAGTGAGTTGCAGGTTGTTTTTTTATACAGTACACACTCATTTCCTGCACTTTAAAAATTCTCTCACTTTAATCTGTTAATGATAGACCACTGAAAAGTATTGCTTTGTTTTTTTTAGTTAAAAACATGATGAAGAAATTTCAGATTTAGCCTCCACACTGAATCTAGAAGGCTAGTTTTAAAAAAAATAATCATATGATGTGTTACAGAATGTTAGAAAACAGCTAAACTGAAGGAAATGTAAAAAGCTAACACAAAGACCATCACACCACATCTTGAACCAGACACACACACACACAGGCAAATACCCAGACACATTTGATGCTATGTACTCCACAATGAACCCTGGCTCCTAAGATGAATGGGGTTCCCACGCCTCTCCCAAGGAGTGCAGGGCACAGCCTCCTCCTCTGAGCATTCACACATACACACACACACAATGCACACACTACAGATGGCCACAGTCTTACTCAAACACACAGGTGCATTTGAGTATAATACAGAGGCACACATACTTGCAGTGAAAAGGCACAGGGACACATTTTAAACGACAGACATACTGAAAATATTGATTATTATTCAGAGCACTTAAGCCACAATGAGCGTGTCGATTTTAAAGATGGAGTGACACACAGCTTTATCTTTGTTGCTAGCGCCTCAGCAATTTGCCATAAAAAGCTACTTTTAATTGGAAGATAAATGAGGTTTGAAATGTTTTTGGGGTGTTTTACATTCAGTTACACTTCCTCTTCAGTGTGTGTGTGTGTGTGTGAGAGAGAGAGAGAGAGTGTGAGTCAGTCATAAGGTTTTGTTTTGCAGGAAGAATTTAAATGAAGCAGAAACAAAAGTTCGTGGGAAAATCTAACATTTCATTTTCTAAGGGTTCAGCAACACAAAGTCCTAGAGTGTGTGTGTGTGTGTGTGTGTGCGTGTGTATGTGTGTGTGTGGTTTTCTCTTGAATATATATGTGGCTTTGTTTCAAACTCTAAAATGTATTTGTTAAATTATAAAAGTGATGTATTTTTATATATATATTTGGCTCATATTTTGTCAGATACACTTTATACCGGTTAAAAAATTATTTATGTTAGATTATCGTTTTTTTTTTCTTGTGGAAAAAGCGTGTAATTCATTGTTTCAATACAATATACAATATATTTTATATATATTGTGAATTAAAAAAAATTTAATTACCCTCTATAATTGAAGACAGTACTTTTTCTAGAGTAACTTTGACACTGCATAGTGTGTGTGTGTGTGAGAGAGAGAGAGAGAGGGGCGAGACGTGTAATATTTATTTATATAATGTGTAACGTTGTATAGTATATTTATGATCATTTTATTTGTTTAATATTATTTGTTAGTATAGAAAGTATTTTAGTAAAAAAAAGTGGACTTTATTTGTGGCTTAATTTGATGCTTGTTTATTTCTTAATATTCCATTATTGCCTCTTATGTTTTCAGTATATTAAGCACTTTTAAAATTTTAGCATTTTATTTTTACAAACTAAAATGGGACCACAATTTAAAAAAAACAACAGAAAATCTAAATAAATGTTGCGGAAAAAACTTCATTTGTAATTCTAATTCACAGCAATATAATTCCCACTGGTCATTTTCTGAAGAGATGAATCTTAAGCTTCTTCAACACTGGCCAGTATATGGTAATAAAGTTATCCAGTCTAAATTCAGCTGCAGTATTCTGAGCCATGATCACTCTAACATATGTTGAATCAGCCTTAATGATACACTCAAGTAGCTGCTTGGCAGGTTTATGACCTGAGGGCTACATGGACACCTTGGTGTGTGTGTGTGTGTGTGTGTGTGTGTGTGTGTGAGTATAACTATATTTACGTCTCTGTTTTTGTCTTTCATTTGCAGGTTCATTATTTGGCAATGACTTAAATTCCCTGACCTCATTGTCAAGCTTAGTTTCAAGATTTTCTGAATTTTTTATATTTTCAAATTTAAATCTGTTGTATTTAAGTATATATTTACTTCACGCTCAGTGATGCGTTTAACTGTGTGTGTGTGTGTGCCTGTGTGTTTGCATGCCACCACACTGCTGAGTTCTCAAAGTCCAAATCAGTGCAGTCGGATCTGTAACTGGAAATATGCATCCTCTGGTTTCCTCTTCCAAGCGGCCTGCAGCCACACAAAACAATTAACACAGTGTGTCGTTAGTTTATTGAACACGGTGCAACTCACATTGTTCCCAGCACACAGCAGCGACTGTGGCAGCGAGCGACGTGTCCCATCAAAAAACTGGGCTCCGGCGCGTTGTGTGTGTCATGTCATCTGAATCAGTAAGTCTCTGGTGCGGCTCAAAGATAATCTCCTCAAAGGAAATTAGTTGGGAAAAAGGGGAAAGAAAAGCCGTCAGCCTAAAGGTCAAATGAAGATTAGAGAGAAACAGTACACGAGGGCACACCGGCTGGCACCCGGAACTGCACAAAGGCCTCATTGTCACGGGAGCCCTCGCTGTGCACACACTCTCCCTGCGTACTTGGGGAGACATGACACCTGTTGGTAGCTCTGGTCAACTGCAGGCAGAGTGACCAGACGCCTTCACAGGGCAAGAGTGATGCTCAAATTGTGTGACCTTTTTAAGTTTTGAGCACACTAAAATAAAGGTACAACTCCATGGCACGTGAATGTCTTAAATAATTTTGGACGCAGCACGACTCGGCACACAAATACGGTCGCGGGTTTTTGCTATAGTTTTTATCTCCTTTATATCTATCTATCTTTATAAGTTTAAATGACAGAAGAAAAAAAAACACCAAATAGTTTTAAAAAATAGGTTTGATTTATATTAACTGATTTAACTGTTTTATTCCAGTCCCCCAGGAACACAGGGGCCACTCACTTCAAAGGGTAAAGTGGTTAATCTCAAATCATTTTAAGTATCATTCGTGACAGTTTAACACAGTTTTACAGTTTAAGGCGCCGTATGTCCAAAACGTTGGACGAATGTTCTTTTCGAAAGTTGTACGAGAGTTCATGGCTGCAGGCTGTTCCTCAGTCACATCTCTCATTAGTTAATGACACCATTACCTTTTTCACAGACTTCATACAGGTGTTTTGGGAGTGTATTAATATGATAATACACTCTGAACACATTTTATTTTAAATATACTTTTAAAAATAATTTTAAGAAGTTGCTGCAGTAAAGAAGATACACACAGCAAAATATACAGGATTCATTTAACACTCTGCTAGTGTGTGAGTGCACATCAGTGATTGAAAGTCTCTAAACTCTAAAAGAAAACTAAACTCTTCTAGATATTTTAAACATGGTTCAAGTGTTAAAGGATTAGTTCACCTAAATTACAAAAAAATCATTTCTGGTTTACCTCTAGTAGTTTGTTGTCATACAGGTGCATTAATTTGCACATGTCTAGAGTAGAGCTGCAACAATTAATTGATTAATCTATTAGTTGTCTCCTATTAAATTAATCGGCAATTATTTTGATAATCGATTGATGGTTTTGAGCCATTTCTCAAGAAAGAATGTCCAAATTATTTGATTTCGGCCTCTCAAGTGTGAATATTTTCTGGTTTCTTTAGTCCTCTCTGACAGTAAACTGAATATCTTCGTGCTGTGGACAAAACAAGACATTTCCTGACATTTTATGGACCAAACAACTAATTGATTCATCAAAGAAAATGATCATGAGTTGCAGATCTAATGTTGAGATACCTGCCTCCACCCTAATACAATGTAGGAGTGAAAAACTGCTCACAGCAGTGACACATTACTTTAAGAAATCTCTTTCCACAAACATAACGAGCTGTGGCTCAGAAAGATCCAATTAAAAGTGATTTTAATATTATTGTTCAATTCCCTATGCAGAAGAAAATAATTCAGTTCACCTCCATCATATTAGGATGAAGAGAACCTGTACAAATGACTACCTGTATGAGACGATACCACCAGTTAAACAAGAAACTATGTTTTGTGTAATTTGTATGAATTGACCCTTTAAGTAAAAGGCCTCGTCCTGTGTAAACCTGATACCTTACCTTACACACATTAGCAGTGTAAGTGAGGAGCGGTCTGTTATATACCTTACAGGCTTGGACATTAAGTAGCTCGTGTAGAGATTTGTGTGGCATTTATGGGATAACCGACCTGCAATAAAACAGCCACAAACCGGTGCGTGCGTGTAGTGTGCGTGTAAGGAGTCAAGGCAGTGACTCACTTTTATGAGCTGGACCCCACCTGACGTCTCCCCCGTCGCTCCCGAGCTCGGGGGGAAACCGCAGCAGAGCCGCAGCCTCTCCTGTCTCACTCAGGAAACTCCCTGAAACAACCACAACCTGTCTGTTTGACCTTTCAACCAAACACACACACACATACAAATTTATGCTCACTGGCACCAAGACCTTCTGACACACACAAACAGGCTTCAGATGAAGCACCATAGATCATCTTTAGAGGATTTAAGTGGCTAGTTTTAAGCTAGTGGTGTTGTTTATCAGCTGCGTGTGTGTTTGTTCACTTTAGAGGTGTTACCTAAGCCACCAGGTAACAGCATGCAGATAAACAAGATGCTCATAAATAATACAGACAGAAGACATCTCACTCTCAGTGTGTTTATGTGCGCAATTTGTGTGAGGAAATTCACACACAAGCAGGCACAGATACTGCTGCCTGTGTTTGCTGTGTGAGGTTGGTGTGCGCAGCTGTCGTTACGCAGTGCTCGTGTGTAAGACAAGAGGTGAAAGTTTGACCTTTCGACACCCAGCAGCAGGAGGTCACTCACTCTCTCCTCTCGTTTGTCTCCGTCAGGCCGAAGAAAGCTGAGAAGAGGCGAGCTGACAGACCGCACAAGCCTGAAGCTGTCGCTGCAGCGGGGAGGCGACCTGTCAAGCTTAAGTGACTTCCAGGAAGTATTTTGACAGCTTTCTATGATTTGTAACAATTAAAGCACAAAAAAATGATCTCAGTTTATGACACTCGGTTAGTTCACTCTCACATCAAATTGAATTTCCTGTAAGTATTGAAAGCAATAAAAAAAAATAACCACAGAAGGTTTTAAATTAAAGAAGTGATAAAAAGAGATTATTCATTTTCAATGAAAGCTGCTTATAAAATCAAACAGAAGTTAGGTTAAGTAGTAGAGAGTTATTTTAGATAAATAAACCTGTTATATTTTTTTGTGAAGAACTTTTTATTGAACCACTGCGAGTGAAACATACAGTAGCATCCATACAACTTTTATAAACATAATCCCGTCCCCCCGCCCCCCCTCCCGGCAGCATCCCTCCCTCCCCTCTCAGGTCTCCCCTGGACCAGTCATACATCATCAAGTGTCAACGAAGTGTCAGTGATTTTTAATGAAAATTTGTCAAAAATGTAAGTTTTATATTAAAATGTACGGCAGCAATTTAATCATTTGTTAGTTATATACGTCAACATATGTCGTATGTTGTATACTAGCAGGGAGACATAATATCCTGACAATTTGATAAAAAAAGATCAAATTATTTTTATTTTTTAAAGTTATTAAAAGTTGCTGGGGCCCATGTGTGATTAAAATGAATAAAATGTCTACTTACAAAATATGTAATATTTCGTAACAATACATGCAGGTTTATTCTTTACCCTGGGAGAACAGTATGAATAGTATGTGTGACAAAATAATCTCAACTCAAAGGCCTTAAACTCAAACTCAGTCTTCATCAGCAGATACATATTTTATATTTCAGTCCTCTAAAACTTTTTGACACTTAATATTTAAATTCCCTTTTATAAACGCACTTTGCAGTCGATCTATAAGTTTGTTTTATGTGTGTTTTTCTGGTTTCCTGAGGGCCTTCTGTTGTTTTGAGTCTGTGTTCCCACAGGTCAGCCGTCAGCCATGTGACATGAGAGACACCTGCAGGAGATAAACTGTCCTTTGGGGTGAGGTAGTAGGTTGTATAGTTTTAGGGTCATTCCCAAGCTGTCAGATGACTATACAACTTACTGTCTTTCCTGGAGCGATTGTGATTGCGGCGTCATCATCATCATCATCATCAGCCTCACCATCATCATCGTCACAACGGAAAATGCAAGCAGATGTTAGAGAGCAATGTTAGATATGATCTTAAAGTTTTAAATAAAGGTATACAAATGGCTGCTGCAACATGATGATTTAGAATTTTAAACCAAACTTTTGTAATGTTTAAATGTGCTTCTCATAATTACAAATGCTTTAACAACAAGCTCCCATAAGCTGATATTTGAATAATGGTTTTTACTTCATGTCTTCATTTAACCAAGTAAGCAGATATGTCCTCAGCACAAACCTTCAGCTCCAGATCCTCCTCCTACCCTGACTGGGTGACTTATGGTGTTCGTACAGGGTGAGGTAGTAGGTTGTGTGGTTTCAGGGTTGTGATTTTACCCCATCAGGAGCTAACTATACAACCTACTGCCTTCCCTGGAGGGCAGCAATACATCACAGGAGCACACCTTTCTACTTAGGAAAAAAGCTGACAGACTCAGATTAACCAAGGGCTGGCCTTTGATTTCAAAAGGTTCATTGGATGGGTGAGTGGTCCCAAATCACAATGTGTGTTTCATAGCGATACTGCATATGTATGGATACATGGAAAGTGCAGTTGGCTGTTTTAACTCTGTATTAAATTGTAAATTGCAATAAATAAAGATCGGATAAGAGCAATGTAATATGCAATGACTGGAGTCTGATCCTTTCAGTGTCTACCGAGTACTGAGGTACAGCAGTAAATACTTGTTGTCAGAATAGTTTCTTTGTAATCCTTGTAAGGAGCTCGTTATATTTCAAAACATGAATCTTAAAAGCCTCTGTGGCTTAGGCTTTAACATGTAGACATGCACTGTATCTGTCTATTTAGAAGAATGTTTTGAAGTTTGTCTTTGTCTTTATTTTTTGTATTTTGAAACAAAGGCAATTACTTGGTATTTTTCCATGCAAGATTAAAAAGAAAGAGGCATAGCATTTTATTTGAGATAAATTATGTCTGAACAAATGTTCAGCATGTTGTGTGTAGTTGTAGGCTTTGAGCTAAGTTCCCAAGCTGCATCCCAAACTTCATCAAAGCTGATATCTGGTTCACACAGTCTTAATTCAGCTTCAGACTGTCTCTAATTCGGAAAACATGAGCATGTGTGTTACCCTCACAGATGGAACAGGACACCAGGTGCTGAGGTACCAGCAAAAAATCATAAATTATCACCCTCCCACTTGTCTGTGTGAAAATACACTGAGTATCCTCAGAAGAGTTTTGCTGTCTAGCTTCAATGTGGACATGAACAGGAGACGACAATGGCCAAAATACCCCCAGACAGTCTCTCACCTCAGTGTGTGGACACATTGCTGTGCACCCATACACAGTAGATGGCGCCAGATATTACATGTTGGCAGTCCACAGTGTTTATGTGCCAGATCTATTTTACAGAAGGCTGAGGTTATAAAGACTGTGGAGCAAAGAAGAAAAAGCAGGAGTGGAAGTCTGTACTAATTACTGTTTGCTTACCTATTGTGATAGCTGAGAATGGGGGAGTGCATTATGCAAGCACAGGAAACATGGATGCACCTGTAGTTGCAGTTAAGAAGATCATTGTTCTTTTGTAATAATAAAGTTCATTGTTTAATAACTGCAAAATATATTGAGTCTAGTCAATAAAAGCACTCTCCAACTAGTGGTTAATTTACTACACTACAAAAGTGCTGTAAATCAGAGCTGAATCATTTTGTCACTTGTCATTTAAAACTTTTAGAATACATAAATCTTAGTTAAGATGATCATTTCACAAAGACACAAACTACAGGCCATTGTCCTTTTCTGATTTATTTTGGTAAACTATATATATAATAGAGAAATAGGTGTAAAGAAGAGAAACAAGGGGTTTTTAGATTAAAGAATGTGCAAAAGCTAGGTGAAAGGCAATGTTACTAATATGCACCTGATAATAAGTACCTAGTAATTAGTCTCCTAATAGGATAAGTGGCTGTTGCAGAGCAGGTCCCTGTTAGTGTGCAGGTAATGTTGTCTTGCTTAATGCTCAGAGATCAAATCAGGAGTTATGAGCAAAGGCCAAAACCAACTTGAGCTATAACCTGCAACTCTTGATTGCTGCATAATACATAATACCTCCTTTTAAAATCTCACTAATATTTAACACATATTTATTAAAACGAGCATTGTTATTTGACTTTACCATATAAGGAGTGATCTGGAGGAGTAATATGTAGTAAAATGAATACTTTGAACAAAAGCACAAGATTATCATTCTTATGTATATACTATATGACATGCAGAATGCACTGGTGGAAATATCCAGATCTTTAACTTAAGTAAAAGTCGCAATATAGAAATACTCCCTTATGGTAGAAGCACTGCATTGGAAATCTCACTTAAGAAAAAGGTACTTTAAAATATCAGAAGTAAAAGTACTCATAATTCAGAAACAATGGCTCCTGTGCTTTAATATTATATAGTATATTATTAATGCATTAATGTGTAAGTAGCATTTTACCGTAGGTGGTATATGGATAATAATATAAGTAATTGAATCTGTAACAGTGCTTCATATTTTATGAACTCTGGTTTGTACGTAAAATCTTACAGGAACTAAAGCTGAGACAAAAATAAAATGTATTCCCTCTGAAAAGTGTTGTCAAGTAGAAGCATAAAGTGGCATAAAATACACTAAATGTACTACTACCATACAGAACAGACGTGTAATATAGCACAAAACGATGTAATAATCAGGTTGCTATTATATATCATGTGTAATACTCAACTGTAAGCCGTTCATTGGCATTTTATTTTAAAAAAATTGTGGTTTTATTGAGCATTTAGGTAATTAATAATGTAATATATGACGTTGTTGACGTTCACATACGTGTCAGAGTGTTGTGTTCACTGACGCCTCCGCATTTTATTGCGTAACTAAGGTGACAGCGGAGAGGAGAGCGACCCGTGACGTCTCGAGCCACCGGGAAGTGATTGTGTCTTGCCAAAACAATGAATAAATAAATAAAGCGGGTTGGTCTCGCTTTCACATCCCTGCGTGTCCATTGGTTGAAACCATAGGTGTGTCGGGGGGGGTGTGTGCGCCGTGTTGCCGTCAGCCCGTGCGTCGGTACGTTACTTCCTGTAAGAGGGCGAACGGAGCTTTGACAGCACGCAGGCAGCCGACGCGTCAACTTCTTCGGAGCAGATCCGGATCAGTTGTGTGTCGGAGCGTCCCGGGACCGAAACACCTCCCACCTCTGGAGCCGTCCATCTCAGTGACAGCGTGTGGAAATGCGTCGGATAGCAGCCTCTGAGGTAATCCACGAGCTTTACTTCATCTTTTTGCGGTTATGTGACTGTGATTGTCCGCTCACTTGCCCCAACTTTTATTGTGTAGGAGTACAAAGTTGCTCTGTCCTAGAAGAAAACACGAGAGCATACTGTCACTTGCTGCTCACTTCTTTTACTGCATAAAAGAGAATTCAGGCGATTGTTCTCACTGTCCATTTGTATGTTGCTGCTGAGCCCAACCTTGAATTTCCTGACTAGCCCTCACCTGTTTTGTTGTAAACTGCACACGCCCACGTGGTGTCAAAAATAGCTTAATTCTAATGAGAGGAAAATATTAAGTGGGCCATAAATTCCCCTTTCAGACTTAGCCCCCAGTCTACTTCCTTGCCTGTGCAGCAGCAATATCAAGACACAGTGACAGGTAAACAGGAGAGCCTGTGAATGCAGGACTAACTGTGGGGAGCTGGTTTTGGGGGTTTTTCTCTGGACCTGATTTCATATTCAGTGGCTCTTGGATCTTAAATGACAAGTGACACAAAAAAAATCTGAGGTAATAAGAGCATCGATTTCAAATTTTAGATTTTCTCTTTTGAGTCTGTTCTATCCCCGCTGTCATCTGTTAACATGCTTTGCTGGGTGCAGTAGCTCCTGTTTCCTCTTCCCCTGTGGCCTAAAGATAGCAGCCCCTGTGTCTGGGATTATAGTTCCTCTGGGATTTAAAACACAATGTCCTCGGAGATGATGGGGAAGCATTGGGCTGGACCACGGCCCTCTACGAAAGGCGACATCAACCCAGTTTAAGACCTAGCGGTTGACCTATTTTAAATATATCAACACAGAGACCCTGCAAGGATATGTTATGGGAATGAAGTTACAGACCATCAGAAAGACCTTCAGCTCTAATTAAATCTACTAATAATGAGGGGGAATGTGAGGCAAGTTGCAGAGGGCTGCAGCTAATGATTATTTTCATTAATCTGCCTGTTATTTTGTAGATGAATCCATTGATTGTTTGCTCTATAAAACCTCAGAAAACAGTGGAAAAAGCCCATCACAAAAACCCTAGAGCAAAATATGTTGTCATTAAATGTCTTGTTTTGTCTGACCAGCTGTCCAAACCCTAAAATATTCACTTTACTGTAATGTAAAACCAAGAAAAGCAGCTTGAGAACTGCGTTAAGACGTAGCTGTTGATCTATTTTGAATATATCAGCGCAGAGACACAGGAAGGGTTTATTTTATGAATGTAATGGGCTCAAGTTACAGAAAGACCTTCAACTAATTCACCTGTTAAATCTACTAATAATGAAGGAGAACCGAAAGGCAAGTCGCAGAGGGCTGCAGCTAATGGTTATTTTCATAAATCTGCCTTTTATTTTGTAGATGAATCCATTGGTAACCAAGAAAACCAGCTTGAGAACCTAGAACCGCCACTTTTTGCAGGTCTGCTCTGTAAAGTTATCAAACCCCGGATCTGGAAATGAGTTGTCGGCTTGTCTCGTGATTGGAGTCTACATATTTTGGACCCAACCCAGCCACAGTGCAAAAACAGTCTATTGAAAATGGGAAACAAACATTTCAATCAAGGAAAAGACACCCATGGCCAAAGTTGCATGTATGGGAAAAAATGGGTTACTTTTATGGTGAACTCAATGCACCCAAGTATTGTGTTGGAGAGAAAAACAGGTTTGCCTAATCCCTTTGACGAAGAAATCTTTGTCGACTGCCATCATCAGTTTTGTCAGACGGCGGATGTTGTGCATCAGAGCAGCTTGACAGACCAGTTAGACAACACTTAGTAAACACCTTTATCAGTCTGCATGGTCTCTACAGTCCACTCTATATGGCTCAATATACACAATATGGTACAAGTATAAATCTTTTTACACACACTCACCCTGAACACAACTTTGGCGTACCGTCCGGACCTGTCCCCTAAAACGCTGCAACCCAAACACTAGATAAACAAGCTCAGGCATGCTTTGATCAATCTTGTCCTCACTGACCTGACAATCCAGAGCTGTCAGAGTGCACGTTTTCTACCCAGACAGATGAAGAGAGCATTTTACCTAATTGTCATGTTCAACCATTAGTTCAGCCAGCGCACTTAAAGTCCCCCTCTGCTCAAAAATAAGCATTTCTCCTTGTTCCTATGGTTGGAAGTTTGAGCTTCACTGTGCAGAATGCTCTATGTGCAGAGTTCGACACTAGAAGGACGTTTTCACATTCATCTGCTGAAAGTGGAAAGTTTCTCTCTACTCATTGAAAATCGGATTTTGAAGGGGCGGGGCCTACGAGCATGATTTGTGACATCACAAATAGTTTGAAAATGGTCCAGTACGCAATATATGCAAGTGTGATGTAGAAAGTTGAAATCAACAGTGCATATACACGGAGAATGGACTTTATAGTGAAGTAGGAGACATCGTGTGTCCAGCAGGAAACAAACAATACATTTGCATATTTATAGATTCATGGATTTGTTAAGGTAGAAGGAGTTGATGTCTTTTTAAGGATGTGGAAAAATATATCATACACACATTATCGCTCCAAGCAGATTCATGTACGTGTCTTAATACATGTCTGGAGGGGATCTTTAAAGTTGCACAATCTCATATTAGCTAGTGTTTCTTCCATGCTACAGATGTATGCAGCTGTGTAAACTGAGATTTTACATTGAGCTCTGAGACAGAACCGCAGCCAAATCTCTGTATATCAGATCAGAGATATGTTAGTGATTTCTGCCTGGATGGTGTAATAACTTTGTTATCATTGTGACACATATTTAATTATCATAATGGAAGAGCAGAGGTTTGGACAGAGTTTTATTAAAGGTTTTCCTGCATTTATCCTTCAGTTGTGTTCATGATCACATCATTATTAATGCAGATGTTTTACAGACAGTTTGCTTTGTAAAGCTGTCATCTGACAAGCCAATCAGTCAACAGCGTATAGAACAACAACTGTAACATCTGCCGCCAGGAATTACTGGAAGTTGGACAGAGCGTTATGAACATTGACCACGGTGGTGTGATGTTGTGTGATTGCTCCAACAGATGTCTTTTACCATGCTGGGTTCAGCTGGGAGCTCCACCAAGCTCCCTCCCACACATACTTTAAGATCTACTCTGAGAGGACAGACAGCCAGAGACATAGACACAGAAAGAAGCTGTGTGTCCATACACTGAAAAGCTATTCGTACAATGTAAACAGCATGTATGTTGTTCAGCATGTACCCACTGAGTCTCTTTAAAGTCTCTGGAGCATCAGAGTTGGTCAATAAATCAGTCGGAGCTTCGTAACAAACTGCAGGTTGTGTACTTTGGCTGAACAAGTTGGAGTTTAATCTGTGAATGATGCGGTTGAAATAATACACTACTGTTGACTCTATGTGCATGGTTCACTTATTAAACAATCATCTTCACGATATGAACTTACCTCTGGTTTAGTAGCTTAAACCTGCCCACTGCTTAAGAGAACTGTAGTGAATAGGCTTTGTTCATGTTTGTAATGTTTTTACTGAAATATTGTAAACCTGCAACCAGGTTAGTTTGCATTCACTGATTGTTGAAATCTTTAAACAAAGTGCAACCTTCAGGCACTCACGCACATACTCTTGAGTTTTGATGAAAAAGATTTCAACCTCAGTGTTTGAATGAGATTCAGGCGTACGTCATGATTAGATAAATGGGAAGTTTGAGTCATTCAGAAAGTTCTACCTTGGAATTCACAAACAAAAACCCACAGAAAACAAAAAAAAACCCAGAAATATAAAGAAACTCTGAACTCCGATACATGTTGCGTTTCTTCTGTAGAAATGTAGTTTGTATAGAAATGGTATACTAATACAGCCAACCAGGCTCTTCCGCTGCTGATTGATGGCTCTATTAAACACTAGTAGACACCAGCCCCAGACTGTCTGACTAGGGCTGTCACAATATCATATTTCACTACACAATTATTGTGCCAGAAAGAATTCAAGATAACAGTAGTATTGTGATATCTATGGCAAATTTGGAAAAAAATTAGAATGGTATAAATCAAATTCATCTTTAACTTGTGTGTTTTGTCTCTTTTTTGGCAAATGAATTACACTCAACATACGAGTGCATGGCGGTAGAGAGTCTGTAACCATAACCGTAGTACAGAAGTGTACAATTACCACAAAGAGGAAGAAAAGGAAATTATTTGAGAGGCCATGGATTATTTACACGATATATACATTTCAAAAATGTAAATTTCAAAACCCTAAGAGCTGACACGTGTTATTATTTTCCAAAGCATGGTTTTCCTTGTCCACACTAGGAATGGGCAATATGGATCAATTGAAAAACTGTGAAAACATAACAAGACATGAAATGAAATCCCTGAAAAATCAAGATATTATATCACATTAATGCAAAGTAATCATGTCAAAATCCAATATTGCCATCAAGAAATCCTGCTGATTGATTTGAAACATAGCCACTGATATTAATTGGGACAGCTTATATATGGGAATTTTCACCTGGACGTTTTGAAGCTCCCAACCAATTTAAAGGCTGCCTCAAGATTTCAAGTCCCATTATCACCCATTGTTCTCCCTTTTCTCTTATCACAGCGTGGTGAGTGAGGGGTTGTTCCTGCCACGTTTGGTTTCATCTTCACTATGGCAGGGGATCTATTTAGTCCACCATCCCCACTGGGGGATTCCCTGCTGGACAGTCCGCTATGTGGAGACCTGATGGACGATCTTCGTGACATCTCCCAGTCCATCGGAGACAACACGCTGGGATTTGATTTCCCAGAGTACCAGAGCACTGGCTCGGGGTCTGAGAGCTCCATCGCACTGGGTGAGTAGTCCAATGGCTTCGTGGTTAAAAGAAAGGGAAAGAATTGTCACAGGGTACATGAGGTATAAAAACTAACTTAAAAATACATTCATGAAGACACAATCAGAGGGCCTTTGGAGTTGCTGACAGGTAAAGTGGATCATTACAACACTGACCTTCGGACCTTCGGACCTTCTGGCTCCACTGTTCCATATGTAGATGCACTAAAGAAGCCTATGTAAAACACTGTGTGTCTGATAACAGATGATTAGGTACAACTCTGAGTCCTCTATGTTATTATGTTGTCTCCAAATTCCTGATCAGCACTTAAACAAATGACCCATCAACTTAAAGTCTTTAGGCCTGCAGGAGACACTTAACTGATATACTCAAATGGACAATGGCAGGAGTCCAGTTTCTGTCAAGGAAAAACAGATGAATTTATCCTTGTTTTTGCCATCACTGTGATTTGTTAGGTGTCCAATATTGGTACGATTTGTGGTTTCAATCCACATTATAATGCCGTATACAATAATAGAAAATCTGTTTTCTTTCTTTTACTGTTTGTAACATAAATACATTTCAGTATTCTTATACGCACTCTCACTGTACAACATGGTTTAGTAGTTTAATTAATATTAGACTAATATTTTCTCTCCACCAATAGTTTGTATTAATTGTATCACTTTTCTTATCCTTACTCTTTCATGTTTTTGTAGATACATGCACATAAACTGTAAGAAAAACAAGAACAACACATTTAGATGACAATGATAGGGAGGTTATTTTGTCTAATCATCTGTTTCAATGGCACTGGTATGCATTCAACTCGATATGACTAAAATCAGCTTACTTGCAGCTTTAAAGAAAAGGTACATTTCTCAATAAAGTCTTGTAAGATTGACAGATATTTTCTCACTCAGTATATACTGTAGAAAAGGTTTTTGGTTCATTATTCATCTCCCTACTCTACGTTGTCGGGTTATGTTTTTATCATCTGACCTGTAGGCTTGGTTAAAATAGAATTAGGGCATAGTTCGTCAAATTTGGAGATACGCTTGTTAGATTTATTGCCAAGTTAGCCTAGATAAGGAGATCAATACCACTCCTGTATCTGTATGTTACTGTGAATATTAAACTAATCCCACAGCCAGCTGCCGGTTAGCTTAGTTTAAAGACTCGAAAAAGCTGGCAAATTAAGACATTATATCTTATTTGTTAAACTTACAAAACAAACGGTTATCGAAGAAGCTAGGCTAACTGGCTGTAGTGAGCTTTATGAGTCATGAGACATTCTGAATGAGTGGTATTTATCTTCTTTATCATCTAATCTCAACTCGAATAAGTGTATCTCCCAGAATGTCAACTATTGTCCGACTATTCCTCAAGTGCTGTCAGTTTGCCAAACAAGGGCCAAACCAAAGCAAAGGGTTCCTGTTCTCCTTTTGTAAATAATGGCATGGTGAATCAGAGTAGGCGTAAGAGTAACAAAAAATCAAGGTCTCAGGTTGGATTGAGTTTGTTTCTCCTCTCTGCTCTGCTGTGTGCCACAGACACATTGACCCCAGCTTCCAGTCCGTCGTCGGGGGTGTGTGGAGCAGC